AGTACGCGCACTGTGCGACTAAAGACAACAACAGTTTAGAGTGAGAGCGCATGATCGCCGCCGCCATTTTAGATTTGTTTCTTTATTGGCGCGACTTATACATCCACATCTCGTCTTTTCGCCTTAAAAGTGTACAATTTCCAAAAATATTCGAAATTGAGTTAATAAGCGGATTCATTTGGTATCACCAGTATTTTTCTCATAAATACTGTCAAAAGAGCGTAGTTTAGTTTTTTTTTAGTTTACCTATATTTTGACTACTATTAACACATAATTAATACAGAATTTTATCTTACTTTAAAATACAGATAATGTAACTGATAAAAGATAAAACATAAATGTTGCAAAGATGATTAATATTATAAATATCACATGTTAAACCTTTAAAACACTCTCCTGTAAAATTAGTAAGTTTTGAAATTATACAGTTTTAATGCGAGAAGGACGATCTGTGCATGATGTTCCAGGACCCGCCGGGCTCCCCGGACTCGGCCCGAGAGCTGGCCGACAGCCTACCGCTGTGTCCGCCGCACAACTACTTGTCCGCCTTCACTCCGCAGACGCCCGGTACTCCGCTCGACTACGTTGAAGTCTGACGCATGCCGCCATCGCACATGTTTGTTCATACCTGCACTCACTCTTAACACACATCGCATGTATAGCAAACGAGATAAAAATAGTGAAGTAAGAGCTAGTGGAACGGCATGCAAAACTCAACCGTATTAGTGCCGCAGACGTGTTAATTTTAGTAGTGAGATACTCAGATGTTGTCATTTGAAGGGTCGAATTGAGCCTTTATTATATTGCACTTTTAGGCAGACTAGCATATGGCTCACCGTGGTTACCTTCGCCCATGGACTTAAGCATTGCCAAAGGCAGAGCCAAGCCGCTGCCTACCAAAAAGACACCGACCTCATGAGTCATGACGGGCGTGACATTCACTTTGGCACTAGTCTAGCAGTGGTCATTTTTAAAACACCAAAATCAAAACCTCGTCCACCTATCGTAAGTTATTAAAATATGTAAAATAGTCACATTTTTACCTCGTTTGTACTGTGCTAATTATCTATTCAAATCGTTTTTAAAATAGATAAGTAAAGTACTCACAGGCATGAAAATTTTCTGTAAAAGCATGCAATTAAACCATCACACTCTATAACTCCTAAGCAAAAATAAATTATTGGAAATTGATTTATCAAAGTAGTTTAGTTATAGGTATAATTGTATACTTTTTTTTTCCTCCGGATTACACCTTGTGGCGAAATCTTTGGGGAGACCTAAGGTCAGCAATGATGTCCTTATGCTTATAACGCTGTACCCATACCAATTTTTTTTGGTAGTACATATTAATGAAAGATAGTTAAAATTGTATTTAAATTCTTTTACAGAAGCGGCCCCGCAGAAACCCTTTAAAATAAAAGTAGTTCACTTTGGAATGGTTTGAACTTATAGCTCAATATGCATTTGATTTAGAAATTATATTTATGACTAAATACGAAACAATTTTAGTGATTAAAACATCCGTCCATTATCTTTAAGTATTTTAACTTCTCGCTAAGTATATAATACCCATTAATTTTTAATAAAGTATTGTTATTTTTACTAAATAGTCACAAACTTGTTAAAATTATTAAGTAATTATTATAGAAGTTTATCAGTTCTTTATTATGAATATGTAAAATGCATTTAAAAATTATATTCAGGTCGATTATATTTTCGTTTTATTTATCTTTAGGCTTAGTATTTTTAATCTACTTGTGTACAATGTTCATGAATAAAAATGAGAAGTGTCAATGAAATACTACCGAAGACAACTTTTCTTGAAAAATGTAGGTATAACTTATTGTCATTCCCATTGACTGTTAATGTCCTTCTAAAGTCATCACAATGAAAGCATTGCACAACACAAAAGACTAGTATGTGACTACAAATTGGCCATTAATAAAATACAAATAAATCTTCTACCAAAAAAAAAAGAAATTGGGAATCTGATACATAGGTACATAAACCATGTATTAATTATAATGCAGGATATTTTTCTTTATTACTTAGCATCAATTGCAATCTCCACATGTTGCTTAACACAACTGACTAATTTAATCAAGATGTCAATGGGAAATTCTATTGAGTTTTTTTAATTTCAAGTTGGTAGGCACTACCTTAACTCCTATGAAGACACATCATTTTGAAAGGTTGATATTTGCAAACCCATAAACTATAGCAACAGCATCAGTCTCTAATCCCATAAACCAATACGAATGACAATTACAGCTACACAAAAAAAAGGATTTTTTTTAATTATTGCTCCAGAATTCATCAACACTACCTACAGGCTCCTTTCCTAAACTTCTTCAGTTTAGGCTTGATTTTGAGCATTTATTTTGTCTTTTAATTAAGAATTCCAATATAGTGAAGTAGGTACTCAGTTTAAAAAAAGTGAAAATTTTGCAATAGTAAATTTTATCTACCAAACCCTGAATTAATCTACACAAACATTAGCAGAAACGGAGATTCAGGAATTGAAAGTTTTAAAAGTTGCATTGCTAGAATACAGTTACACTTTAATTGTATAGCACCAAAAAACACTCCTCAAAACTAGCTCCAAACATTTGCTACAAATATTAGGTAAATGTTCAACAGGCCCATTTGTTTACAAAAGAAAATATACAAAATGAAACAAATTACAATATGAGGAAAACTTTTATTTTAAGTTTCTTTTGCATGTTACGAGAATAGTATTGTTACAATAAATTTCCCATTTGGTTATTATTTAATCCTTGATCTTCTTTTTGGGTCTCAGATTGTTAGTGTGTCCGCACTTTGTCTTGCGACAGTTGGTAGCACGAGGATGAAGACGGGCATAGCATTTACGGCAAATCATTTTCTCACAGTTATACTTCATGGCGAGAATGCGAAGGGAAGGTTCAATTGTACCTACAAATAAATTTCGTTGTATGAATATGAACGAACTGAAAATACATTATCGTTAGATGAATTCATTAGAAGAATTTATATTACCTCCTCTAAGTCTCAAAACCAGGTGAAGTGTGGATTCTTTCTGGATGTTATAGTCTGAAAGAGTGCGGCCATCTTCTAATTGTTTCCCGGCAAAGATGAGACGTTGTTGGTCTGGAGGAATACCTTCCTTGTCTTGNTTTCGTTGTATGAATATGAACGAACTGAAAATACATTATCGTTAGATGAATTCATTAGAAGAATTTATATTACCTCCTCTAAGTCTCAAAACCAGGTGAAGTGTGGATTCTTTCTGGATGTTATAGTCTGAAAGAGTGCGGCCATCTTCTAATTGTTTCCCGGCAAAGATGAGACGTTGTTGGTCTGGAGGAATACCTTCCTTGTCTTGAATTTTAGCTTTGACATTTTCGATAGTGTCGGAAGCTTCCACCTCCAATGTAATGGTCTTCCCCGTAAGGGTTTTGACGAATATTTGCATTGTGTTGCTAAAATAAACCACACGTAAAATTTATGACTTTTTACTTCCTAATTGGACCGTGAATGAATCTAAAACAAATGAACTGAGATTGTCTACATGACACGCCACGAGGATTTTAAATTTCGAACTGTCTCAACAATGATGATAGGTTTTATTTACTTCGTAGACCAAAAATGCGGTGTAGTATTCCAGTAAATTGTTATTTGTATTTTTTTTGCGAAGATATCATAATTTATTACCGAAATAATTCATAATTCACTCACCTCCTATGAAAAACGTGCTTGGAAAGAAAAAGAAACGTCAAATCAAAGTGGTTAACCAAAGATGGCGGTTCGTTTCATGTCGTTCTGAAATTTTTGCGGGAAATGGTGAACAGATAAAAGGTAAAAAAAAATTAAAAAATATGTTTATCTTAGAAAAATGGAATAAATCTGTATTCCCTAATAATCTTCTGTAGGCTGATAGAATAACAATGGATTTTTAAGATTTTACTATAGAGGCCAAAACAATTACAAATCCGTTAATATTGAAATGTAGCCTGCTTTTTTACTTGTGTTTTTGATGTCCCTTTTTACCTTGTAATGTGTATTGTGAGCCTAATAATTAAATAAATAAATATACTTTCTAAAATCTCTAAAAACTACAATGTTCATTTAGCCGTGTACCTATAAAATAAGTAACTTTATGACTGTTAGGAGGGTTATTGTGTCGCGCCGCTGTTTAAATTGAAGTTTTAGATTTAGGTCGTCATGAAGATCAACACATTCCTCAGGTATCACGATGCTCCAACCGCTAAACTTACAAAAACAGGATTAGATGACCTGGAAAGAATTAATGTGTGTGCTTGTCGTGTGAACGAACCCTACACTTGCATAGGTCATGACGGAACGTATACTATACAAGTTTTGCGGAGTGTCACGCAAATCGATATACTAATAGTAACAGTATTAAGGTAAGTTAAGGTACTAGTGTTAATATATCGATGGTCGCGCATGTCGCCTTATTACAAAGATTTACTTCGCTTTCAAATCATAGAGTTGAGTCGACCGAGTACCGAGATTGTCTTATTGTGGGGTCGGAATATCACCTCTCTGTCGAGTATGAAGCCTAGGTAACTTGTTCTTCAAGACCCGCAGCATGGGCTGGCCAAATATTTTGATGGCGGGGATGGAATTACGAGGGCTAATTTTAGACGGGATAGGGGTAAAATATAGTATGATAAACCAACTGTACGCGTATGGTTTAGGAAAAAGATTTTTTTCATACATTTAACAATAGCGAGCGGAGTGTAAATTGGTTTTACTTGGTTGTAGACTAATATTATTTTAACTCGATTTTACTTAATATTAGAAATATTCAAGAGTTACATTCTTCGACTAAATTTCCTAATAAAAACTACGTTTAAAAACAATTCAGTACTTTAGGTATAAAAATCAAAATTGTTCAAATGAAATAAATCAAGTGACTAATTTTATTCTTCATAAATGTATTTTTTTTTATTAAGCAAATACACACTATTTCTGAACGAGTGTGATAAGAAGTACGTACGAACCAAAGTACCTACAACTTGGTTTCGTAATAGCTCGATCGACTTTGCGGACATTTAAAGGAACCCCAATAAAATAAAATATTGTACAGCAAAATGTATCATCAACTAGGCCGAATTACTGGTAGACTCATTGCAGCTTCAAATCTACAGGCTCCACTATTCCCTGTAGTAAGTACATAAGATTCTAAATTTAAAATTTGGTTATCAAGATTTAGATAATCATTAAAAATTCTGTACACACTTCAGGCACCCATAGCCCTACAACGAGTGGAGGTTCCTGTAATCCAGTACAATACCAACCAGTTCTCGACTGTGACCGAAGAAGCTTGTGCCGCACCTGGAAAAAGGAATCTGATGCCTGGGACAAACACTCCTTATCCACCAGTTCCCGAAAATATTCGTAGAAAACAAGAGCTCTTCCAGGTAATTTCTAAAGAAAAATACAATGACAATACATATCAGTAAAAAATGTCAAATAATTACTTACTTTCACCCACTTTTAAATACCGACGTTAAATGTTTTAAATTTTTTATAAACATTAAGTTAGTCGCGATTACAAGTTTACAAGCTAATTTATATCTAAATGTAAATTTATACTACATTATAGTAACAATGATATAAAATATTTTGTTCTACATTTTTCAGAGAGACAATGACTTGCCCGTCTTCCTAAAAGGTGGACCTGCGGACGTTATACTGTATCGTCTGACTTTGCTTCTCTGCGCTCTCGGATTGGTAGGTGTAGTGCAAACCATCTACTCCCATGCTATTCCCAAAAAACAATAGATCATTAATGTGAAGCATAATTATGTTAGTTGATGGTTTGGAGTGATAACACTTAGAAATAAAGATAATGAAAACATATAATCTCTTTTATTTATGGATTTTATATTCGTTGTCCAGGTTTACCTACATATCAAAATTAAAACCCCAATTTTTCTGAACATTATATTTCTAATATACATTATATACCTCTTACAAAGCAGAACACATGCTAACTATTTTTACAACAGTTTGTGGAGTTTCAGAAGCATTTTGTTACATTTAATAATTGATTTCAATACATTTTTAAAATGTAACAAAGAAATTCATATTCAGGTACATTTTTAAATAAAATTAACTGAAAAAGTATAAAAATTAACATAAAATTAGAAACAAGGAACATCACTATCTGCATTATCTAGAACAAAACTTAAATTCAGATTGTCAAACTAACTGAACTTTTTATTTGAGACATCAGCCTGTTCTTCCAATACTAATCTATCAATAATAATAGATGTTTATAATTTAATAATCATAATTTTTATAAATAATAACAAAAAACAATTTTAATCTTTTCTGGTTCTAAGGGCTAAGATATGACAATGAGCCATTATGCAAGTTATATTTTCGATTTTCTTAATCTTAAGAGGAAACATTAATTTAAGTAAATTAAATGCCTAACACAGCCAAATGAAGTAATATAACATATTTTAACAATAAGACTGAATTATCGAAATTTGTCTTGAGACAATGTGGAAACTATTTAACATCTACCTCGGAAATTCTAAAAGCCTGAAAATTAATAAAACCTACGAAGTTTTTTATTGGATCATCCTAATTTTTCTATTCTTTTAATTCTTTTATAAGTACAATAATTAAATATTGAAATTAAGTAGGTAGTGTTAATTTTGATTTTATTGCAAAACCCTTCAGTTTATAGATTCAACAATAATTAATGACCAGCCCAAACTTAAAGTTAATAAATTGTAAATACATAACATAGTGAAAGCTTGCTTTATATTGCACATGCCTTATTAACATTGAAAATACTTAAGGACTTGCGCCATTTAGACTATAATATATATAACTGCTAGTAAAAAAACTTGCAGATTTAACATAATTTGACAAATAACACTACAGCATAGAACCACAACATTTAAATAAATTTAGCTATTATAAATTCTACAGTGTATTACATAGTATTAATGCGTTGTTTTTGTCAAAAACATCCCTTGTCAGGTCTGTTTAATTCGTAGGACGCGGCCGCGCAGGTAAGGGTGGCGGAGCACCTTGTCTAGCAGGCACAGGAGGCGGAGGTCCAAGTGGCGGCGGTGAACTTGGTTCCGGTGGGGGAGGAGGTGCACAANTATAATCATGTAGCTATTATAAATTCTACAGTGTATTACATAGTATTAATGCGTTGTTTTTGTCAAAAACATCCCTTGTCAGGTCTGTTTAATTCGTAGGACGCGGCCGCGCAGGTAAGGGTGGCGGAGCACCTTGTCTAGCAGGCACAGGAGGCGGAGGTCCAAGTGGCGGCGGTGAACTTGGTTCCGGTGGGGGAGGAGGTGCACAACTAGGTGGCGGAACACTGTCGGCGGGCGGGGAAACAATGGGGGGCTGTCCCACAACTTTACTAGTTTCAGGAGACAAAGGTGCAGGTCTTGGGGGTGGAGGTCGTGCAGGACTCACTGCTGGTAATCTCGATGGAACCAATGGTGTTGGTGAAGGAGCTGGGGGTCTGCTCGGCTGTTGCTTTCTAGGAGTAGGTGGAGCAGATCTCAGTGGTCTTTCAGATTGAATTTCACCATATAAAGGTATTGTGTTGTTTGTACACAAACCAATTTCTGTGCGAACAATATCAACCCAGTTTGGAGATTTCAAGAAAATTTGCAATGGAACTGTACAAACTGATAAAGTTGCTTTTTGAGCTGCTGCTAAAGCATTTTGACCCTCTCTGAAAGTGATGCTCAAAGTGTGTTCATCTATAAAACGAACTAAGGTTACTTCACCAAAAGTAGCTAACTCTTGGAGTACAGCAGCCATGACATTATCATCAAATACAGACTCGTCAGTATTAAGGTCTTGTAATGGTTGCACAATTATACAAGCATCAGGAGGACCCAGATCTTTTACTACTTCATAAAAAACTTCCATGCATTTTGTATAGCTGACCTGTAACACTTCTATTTCTAATATTGCTATTACAGGTCTGTGGTCACTTTGTTTCAATTCTGCCCTTCCATAGTGTAGAAGTTTCCCTGCTGATAATTCTGATGTGGTTTCAGGATCAATAGTATATTTTCTGCTTCTCCACAATACACGGTCAGTCCATGCTGGTGCTCTGCATTTTTCACTGGTATCATAATCATCACTAAATAGATCATATTTATAAGTTGGAGGAAATGTAATTTCTCCTTCAAAGCAGTTTTTGAAAACTAAATCTTGTGACTTTTGCTGTAAAAGTTGATCTTGCTCCAAAAGCCTTTGCAAATTATTTTGTGAAGCCAAAAGGCGTACTTCATCTTTATCTAAATCTATACGATAATTAAAATCACCACACCAAAATACATAGTCATGGGAGTACAGAGAGCGACCCATGGGAAATGCAATTTTTCTAGTAATTTCTGTGTAATCAGCATTACGCTCTGTAACTTGTGATTGACCAGCAGCAAAATGTGCACAAACAAAACATAGTGAGGTTCCATAAATTACCATTCTTATTCCCACAGCACCTTTATTCCCAGTAGCCCCTCCAAGTCCAGTCTTAACTGAATCAAGTGCTACATCTCTGATATGCGGTATTAAATCTTTTCTAACAAATATGAATAAACATACTCCAACAAGTTGATGACTAGACAGAAGTGTATAAGATGCATCTCTGCCTAACACTTTTTCCAGTTCCTCACTCCATGCTTTTGCATTATCAGTACTAGCTGCCATAATATTACTAGCATTTAAATCAACTATTTCTTCAAAGCCTATTGCAAATATGTCAGAAGGATGATCCTTCAGATTGACTGTATTTACCAAAGATGAATTTGGACAATCTAATAACCAGTCAGATAATGAAACATCCTTATAAGCAAGACTTCTGAAATGTTTACCACCATTCACATTGTATGTGCCAATAGTTATTCTAAGAGTTGAAGGTTGAGTGAATTCGTTCGTTCTACGACACATTTCCCTCAAGATAGCTGTAGAAGTGTGTAGTATGTTAGATGGCAACAGTATTCTTGTGCGGTCTGCCAGTTCAGAGTTTAATGTTGAACCAAGTAATAAAATATCAATTGCTTCTTGCTTTGAGTTGTCTAATAAATTGTTCTGGATAGTCCTGGCAGCAGATCGAGCTCCATCAATTAGTTTGGAGCCTCCTTGAATTGCACCAGTTCCAGCATAAATTTTAGATATTTCATTTCCATTATTCACCCACATCTGTTTGTAAACTTCTTCAAATCTATTAACATTTTGTTTTTTATCAAGACATTGTAGTAGCATTAATTGAACAGCAAGCATTTCTAAACCAATAAATGTCTGAATAGAATTTGTTCTATCTAAGCAATCCAAGCAATTGGTCCTTATAACTCCCTTTTGAATATTATAAATGTCTGACCCTTTTGCACTAAAAATCCCAATCTCATCATAATATTTCTCAATATTCTGTTTAAATTTTGATAGAGCTATCTCTTGGGATGTTGCTCTTACTTCCTGATGATAGTCAAAAACAATTTGTAGGACATCAGAATGTGGAGATTCATTAATGTGTTTCTGGAAAGCATTACTTAATGTTGCCTCACCTTCACTACCCCCAATCATGTTAGATCCAAGCAGATTTACAACTATTACAGATCCATAATTACGCTTTAACTGGGCAAAATGTCTNGATAGAGCTATCTCTTGGGATGTTGCTCTTACTTCCTGATGATAGTCAAAAACAATTTGTAGGACATCAGAATGTGGAGATTCATTAATGTGTTTCTGGAAAGCATTACTTAATGTTGCCTCACCTTCACTACCCCCAATCATGTTAGATCCAAGCAGATTTACAACTATTACAGATCCATAATTACGCTTTAACTGGGCAAAATGTCTCTCACAAGCACTTGTTGATGCATCATAGCCTCTTGACATTTTTACTTTGTGTGAGCCAACTTGTATTCCAGGTTGTTCCCAAAACAATGGCACAGACCCTCTTGTTTGTATATAAGATGCTACAGAATCATCAATGTAAACAGCTTGTTCAGTTTCTACAAAGTTTGCCACATTTCCATCATCATTACAACCTCGCACATTAAATCTAGTTCCAGCCCTTTCACAACTAAGTCTTGAGACAAGTACAGCCCTAGCTTGACGATGCCCAACATAAATAGTGCGTATTTCTACAGATCCACACATTGCTCGAGTTAGCCACTCATCACAATCTATGCCATATCTGATTAGATGTATGTACAGTGTTCTATTCCAAAAGAACCTATTATCAGGGTTGGCTCCTTTACTTTTTCTTTGGGCACACAGAGTCAAATCAAAAAGATTATCATTGTTTTTGCCAGAATACCAAGAGAAATAAAATGTACCTGAATTAATTAATTTTCGGACTTCCGAAACCTTATCATCACCTTGCGATTGGTAGAACAGTGGCAGAAATTGAGTTTGCGTTATCTTAAATACTTCTAAATCCCCCACTTTACCAACAGAAGAGCATCCGGTGATTAACACAAGATACAGAAGACAGCTTTCACCAGAATTTAGCTGAAGTACTCCAAGACATCCATAAGCGTCTGCAACTTTATGGTATTGTTTCCTTAAAGTTTCTGTTTCTTGCGATGATAAGGAAACAACGGCTTGAGATTCGAAAAGAAGTGCAGTGTCTTTGTTTCTGTGTTGTAATATTATGCTATACGGACTGGGGGGCGATGATTTCTCCAGAACTTTAAAGCCTTTGGACATAGCCATGTTTAGTTTCTATTTGGCGATTATCACGCCATTAGCTTTTAAGATAAGTCAAATAACAATTATAAATTTATATGAGAATAACCGAGACCAATCTTCGACTTGGTGGACAGAATGAATTCAATCAAATCAATCCACCCATAGAATAGTGAATAGTGCTTATCCAATTTAATCTATGCTACTAGTGGTGTGACAAACGGCTTAAAATTGACAAGCGCTTAACACTTTTCAAGTTTTACGTATGCTTTTTGGAATAGCTTTTTAAATCAGGAAATCAGGAAGCTTTCTTATTGTAAACGTACATAGCTTTAAAACAATGGTAAGACGCTTTATTTGTATCGAGTGCTGCGACTAAGCAGGAGTTCAAAACACGCCTGAGTCTTGCGGGTTAGTTAGTTATTTATCAGTTATTAGAAAATATCTAAGTCGAGTTCCATAACGATTTCAACGAGAAAAGAATTGCATTGGAAAATAAAAATCAAATCCGTTAAACTTGTGAATTGCGTAATTACCTACTGGTGTTGGGACATTTTTGAGCTTGCTGAGTTAAAACCCATCGACCTTTATCTATTACTCTATTACTATGGCAGCACACCAGCAATCCGCCCCCTGATCACGTAAAAATTTGCGACAGCCACAATTTTGCAGATGTTGTGCAGACGCGTCGCGACCGATCGCAAAACGTCAAATTATTTCGTATCACGTACCGCGATTGTTCGCTTACCGCTTACTGCAGTTTTCTGTCATACAACTAGCGCCAGTCGCGATCGGGTAGCAATAATTGGTACTAAGTTTATCCCTTTTTTTTTGTTTGGCCGAACCACCAAAAAACTTGTAGGTACAAAAAAGCGCGTCACATGCAAACATTTCAAATTTTCAAGTGGAATTCACTTTGAACCGCCAAGTGGGAGCTGAAATTCTGTTCCATTCGGTGAAGCGCAACGAAAAGTAGGTGATTGAATAATAAACGTATTTTAATTCTCTGCTATTTAAAGTTTTAAAGTATAAATAACCATAATGGAAAATCGCGTATCATGTGCACAATTGGACGATTTACTAGATTATTTAATTACGCATCCACAACTTGTGAAGGGCATCGGTTTAGGAGCCAGATCCAAAGAAGCCATTGCTCGGGAATGGGATAATTTGGCTTCCAAATTAAATGCCCACGGATTGGGTGCTACAAAAACTAGCCAACGATGGAAGCGGGTGAGTTTTAATATCACAAATTGTTAGTAGACTTAGTTCATTTTTGTTCACTTGAATGCATGATGATGTTTGAATCTTTACATTCGTAGTACTGGGCTGACCTCAAGCACAAGGTCAAAGCCAAAGCAGCAGAACGAAAAAGGATTGCTTATGGTACCGGTGGTGGACCTGCGCACCATGACGAGCTGAACGAACTCGAAAAAAAAGTTCTAGCTATAATAGGTGAAGGGGCTATATTTGGTGACACACAGCACAGGGTGCCTGCAATAACTGTGAGTAATAATTATGTAATTCCAAACACTAATAACGTTTTTATTGTAATTAATGTTTAATCATAATAGTTATTTACGTCATGTAATTATAATTAGCGTGAAAGTTTAACTTTAAAAACAAAGGCGTATGTCACTTTATTTTGGACCACTATTGTTCCTAAGGAACCCCTATCGTCGGGATTGGTTGTCGCCTCCGAAGATCAGGGTATAGCCCAGGAAACAGTTGTTCTAACAACAGGTAAAATTAATCCCATTTGATGAATTGCCTAATTATTTTTGTAACTTAACAAATTTTTTTGTAACATTAACAATAAATAAATTTCAGATTCACCACCTCCCGCCTCAACACCAGATCTATCATCGCATTTACTGAATTCTCCATCCCAGAGAGGACAAACACGTGTTTGTTAGTTATTTTTAAACTTTCATAATTAATACGCCAGTTTAAAATTTTTGCAATTGCATTTTGTATCTGGATTTGGATCATTAACCGTCCTACCGTCAACGATTACGTAAATAATATTCGCAGGTTTGATTTTAAATAAAATATCTTTTATTAAGATATATCGCTTTTAATACGCCGGGCGTCTTATCCACGCCGCATAGGCCACGACACGGTTTCAAATGAAATGAATTAGTTGTATAGTTTTTCCAGTAATAATTTGTACAGCAGATGCTGCTCAGGCTGAGATGAGCCCGTCAACGCCTGAACAGCCAATCAACGATATTATAGGTAAGTAAGATGATATACTTGATAAAGTTGTGGTTAATAGATTTGCTTGACTTTGCCAAAGTAGGTTTTGAGTTTAACTTTTTTATTATTATTTGAATGGGTGGACGAGCTCACAGCTCACCTGGTGTTAAGTGGGTACTGGAGCTCACAGACATCTACAACATAAATGCGCCAACCACCTTGAGATATAAGTTCTAAGGTCTCAGTATAGTTACAACGGCTGCCCCACCCTTCAAACCGAAACGCATTACTGCTTCACGGTAGAAATAGGCAGGGTGGTGGTACCTTCCCGTCCGGATTCACAAGACGTTCTAACACCAGTAGCAGCTAATTCTGGAAATATAGTACATTCTTTCACGGTTTGAGGAAAATAAAAAAGCTGACAAGCTAAATATTCGAAAAGACATTGGCAAAATAAAGTTTTAGGTCAGCTATATTAGCTTTATATTTTATTTTATTTTTAAACAAACATATCTAATATCTTTTAAGACTGTACATAAATATTGTTTTTATAGTTAGCCCAGTTTCTCGTCGACCAGGAAGTCACCCTAGAAGAAGCTTCATTGCGAATACCAGGACGAAATTTAGTAAGTTGTTTGTATTCCATAGCCAAGCACTCTTTGCACTCACTCACTACAATCAGAATAATAACCAATCATTATTTTATCTATAGGACAACAAACAAGAGTAGACTCGTCCTGGGTTATAGAGCTGGAGAAAAAGCGAGTGGAAGCTGAAGGGAAACTGGCTGACGCAGTTTTGATTATAGCAGAGGCTGCCCGTACGCAGGCAGAGGCTGCACGTACGCAGGCAGAGGCTGCCCGTACGCAAGCAAACGCTCAACAACTTCAAGCTGAAGTAAATGCATCTCAGCATAAAATGTTGGAAAAATTAATAAGCACCATTATTAAAAATAAATAAATTAATATTGTTTTATGATTGTATATTTTTAGCAAATTCCAAAATGGTATGTTACCTTAATTACGAAATAGGAATTGTTATTTAAAAATAGTTCAAGAATTTTATAATTATGTTTTACTTTAGGCAGGCACCATAGTAAATTTTAGGAAACTAATAAATATAATCTACCGAAACAATAGCATTTCAAAATAAGCATTATGCTTGACATTATACTATTAAGTTCTTGCCATATTCTGCCAGTAGTCTACGAAGTAGCTATCACCTACTTCTGCCAGAGTTAGTCATGTGTTTCATTGAAGTCATAGGCACAATCGATATTACATTTCATTTCAAATTTCGATTTTATGTTGCAAGGAGTTGGATCGTCTATTAAAAACAAACTACTAATTCCTTAAAAAAATATAATTCGAATAAAATTTTATTACACAAAAAAAGAAAAATGTAAAGAAACTAACTACAAAAAACAAAATCAGGCTAGAAAGATTCACATTTTGTCTAAATTATCAATTCTGTTTTTTATGTGGTAATAAAATATAAATGAACTACAAATTTCTAGTCAATCTACTGGTCATCCTACTCTATAATGAAAAACAGTAAAATAATATAATGACACAACACACAAGGTAAACAGAAAGATAAAATAATACATGAATTGAGCATGACAGATTAAAATAATTTCTCAATAAGACCTCACAAAATTTGTCCAAAAAAAGGGTACCCTTGCATTAATTCACAACCTGAACATTTACGGGTATGTAAGGAATACCATTGTATGAAATCTGAAAGTATTCTGAGCTGTATTCTTCATAAAATGCACACGTTTCCACGCCACCTGTGAGGTAATGTACGAGGCGCATTTTTTTTTACGTGGTTTCCCCGGTAGGCATACTCCACGGTCTGTTTTAGTATTAAATCAGATCTTATTGAGCTTCGTCTTCTTTATAATTATCTGCTTTTTCTTCTTTTTTATCGGCATCCTCATGAGTCGATTTAAATTGTTGTAGCAGCATTACATACATCATGTATTCCGTGCACCGATACACGTCCTCGGGTGTAAACCTGTAATAATGAAACCAGAGAAGTATTTGTTCGGCCACTACTGGCAACCGTTCAATTGAGGTGAGTTCTTATTTAACTCAAAGAAAAATATATGATATATTTACACCAGCATTCAATTAAAACAAACGAAAGCCCCAGATATTTTAGCAACAATCTCAAATATTGCCAATAACAACAAGAGAAATCACATTATTCACTTGATTACCTGTAGACTAAGAAGTCTACAGGTAAACAAGTGATAAGAAGCAACACTCTTTAATTAAAGAACATTCAATAACAGAATTAAAGTCAAATTAAAATTAACTTAAAAGCTCACTAAAGTTGACTATGTTCCTTGACGGAGGCTCGAATGCGCACAGATCAACGCGTCGCTCAAAAGGCGGTGTCGCGAGTCTGAGCTCCCTGGCGGGACAGTGGCTAGCTATGTGACCTTACAGATGCAACATCTGTGGACTGTCATTAACGAGAGTTTTATAATTATAAGCAGAGAGTACTAGGCTATTGTATTCATTCTTGTCTTCTCAGTTTACTCAACTATGAACAACAGCTTTAAACACATACAAAAAATACTAGAATACAGAGAGGTTGGACTAACATTTAGCGTCTGTTCCTCCATAATCTTTGAACCACCATTGAACGTTGACGACGCCCACTTGCCAAGTGCTGTGTTTCCTCTTCTCCACCAAAAAATACATTGTTATCCATTTGACGAGAAACATCCCTTACAACATCTTCATCGGGAAGCTGGGGTGCTGGGAGCCCATATCTATTTGCCATGTTATGCAATACACAGCAAGCATTTATGATCTTGGCCACCATATGGTGATCATAATGCAGTACTCTGTGTGCCAATAAGCATCTCCAACGAGCTTTCAAAACTCCTATACAACGTTCAACAGTGTTCCTGGTACGGCAATGAAGATTAGTATAGTACTCTTCCATAGATCTGGGAAGAGCATTAACAATTGGAGTCAGAAGCCAGCTTCTGAGTGGATAGCCTGAGTCACCTGCAAGTGATATTTTTAATGTAAAAATTAGTTTGGTACATAAATAAACTATATTAAATATTAGAAAAAGAAATGAAGAAATATTTATCTTTAATAATATCTATATTTAATAATAAATAAAAATTCTGTCTCATTAATCACTACCAAGTTTCCTTTCCATTCTACTGAAGTTTATTGTACTAATCTAAAATTGATTTTCAGAGTATGTACTGTACCTACCGGCTCTGGCTAACTGTCTTCCCAGTGTTTAAAAAAAAATAGTAAATTGAGTAACATAAATACATTTTTGTAGTTAAGTTACTGAAACAGAACATATGTTACTTGCCTAAAAACCAAACATTTTCACCATTATGGTGCAGATCCTGTATATGCATATTCAGTTCAGAGTTACGCCAGACAAATGCATCATGAGTAGCTCCTCCAAATGTTGCATCCACATTTAAAATGTTAAGATCACTATCACAAATCTAAAAAGTTAATCCTTCAGATAAGCACTAGGAAGAAATATATGTTATTGTGAATGAGAGGATTGTACAAAGCACTTACTATTTGCACATTTCTGGAATGATAATGCTTGCGGTTAAAAAACCTCTCTTCATGTTCTGCAGGTCTGACAAGTGCAACATGAGTGCCATCTATACACCCCAAAACCACAGGAAAGCCAAATTTATTGTAAAATCTATAATGAAAATAAATTTATTTAGTATGTGATATATATTTTTACAATTACAATGCAAATGCACACAAGATAGTCATCACCAATATCTTCGCACTATCAGAATGAGACAAATTTTTACAGATTACTAAGAATTCTGTTACATTGTTTAAGTTCAATGATATAACTGATATGTGGGGTTAACTCGTACAAATTGAAAAATCAGTGGAACTTTTATGCTTTATAAGATAATTATTTGACTTACCCATTTATAACTTGTGAACGTTCTTGCTGGGTTTGTGGAAACTTTAAATGTTTTTTTAAAATTTGAAGATTGTTTAATGCCATAGTTACTTCCCTAATGGCTTTGGATACACTAGCTTGACTCAAAGTATGCAAAAAGTTCATACCAACTGGTTTCTGGTATGAGCCGGTTGCAAAAAATGATAATGCTGTTAAAACCTGTATAAAAAAATATTTAAATCATTTCGTTAAGAATAAGTCTGAAATCAAAATAACAATTTATGCTACTTTAGACAAACAAGATATGATTATGAAGCTTTTATTTTCTTCACGTTTTACACACATTGAAATGTTACATTGAATACTATTATTATACCTTGCATTCTACTGTGACTCTTGTTCGTCTATGTGATCTAGGTAGTAACGGTTTCAATTCAGAGCACAATTGTAGAAATAGATGTTTTGAAATTCTATAATGTTTTCTGAACAAACTTTCCGATAAATTCAGGGGTTTAGCTTGATCTCGAAGACAGCGTCGCAGACGCACTGATTCGAGTATATTCAACCTATTTTCGTCTGCCTCCAAAGCGTCAATTATAATTAGTGCTCTGGCCATTGTAGTTTAACTAGAAGCAATACATATTAATTTGTAACTAAAGTAAACTGTATAACCTCAACATTATTAGTGTACATGTCCAGCGTGGTGTTTAATGTTAATATTACTGAAAACACCACAAATACAGATCTAAACTAATTACACTTACCTAAATCAAGTTAAAATAATTGAATTTCACAAATTTTACACTTGCAGATAGTTTGCAACAATTTAGCAGCAGATACAAAAGGTGTCGCAAATTTGACAAACGAAATTGCTAAATATCTGCTGTTGTGTGGCAGACAAAAGCATCCGTAATACCGACTCTAAGACAATTGTCGTTAATTGTATGGAAAAGAATGCACTAAAGTTTCACAAATCGCTCTGCAGAGGCAGCACTAGTGATGGTCCGCGATCTGCTTTTTTGTTGTAAGTCCGTAATACGAAATAGACAGTTGACAGCAATATTTGCACAATATTTGTCTTCTGCTAATTGTCTGCGAAATACGTGATACAGCTGCCGTTCTATATTGATTTACGGTACAATTGAGTCTTGGACCACATGTTACAAGAAAATAAGATTAAAAATGGATGTCATTTTATAATTGAAAAAATATCATTGAAAATACACAACTGTTACAAAAATGAATTTCTAGCATGGTATATTTAAAAATTTATATAATATTCTTATTCCCATACCCATTGTTTTCTGGAATATTAAGCTTCATATATATGAAATGTTTACATCTATCTATGCATTATTACCATCCTCTTAGCACGACTTATAATAACGAACATTAATTTCATGACAACACTGTTTTGATTTGCATTTTCGCCGTTAACGTTGCGGTTAGTACGTTAACGAGACCTACCCAACAATAAAAGTATTACACTAACGATTGGTACACTCACTTTATTTAAAGACAAGTGTTATGTAACAGGCGGAAATCAACTTAACGTTTACTCTATCTAAATTAAATTTGAAACTCTTTTTGGTATGAGGTTACTTTTCAATAGATACTATTAGTACGGTACCTACTTTCATTCAAAGACTACCCAGGTATAATACATTACTTGTCTGCTTTTCGATGATCGACTTCTTCATCTTCTTCTTTATTTTTTGGCTCTGGTACAGTTTGTGCGTTAGCCAGCGTCAAGTAATAAGATTTTTATAATTCGCCCGTTTTAATTAAAACCTTTAAGCTGTAAAGTTTATGAATAATAAAAAACGAAGGAAAAGCAAATTCAGCACAAAAACAGCGTCCGCCAAATTCCAATGTTTCCCGCGTTTTTTTTCTTCTAATAATTTAATGTTGATTTATGTAACGATTGGAACACAACACCACATCGTCGAAGCAATGAGACGATACGGCATTAGGAAGTGAAATGAAATTTATTAAAATGAAACATGGCATGAAATGAGATGAGATATGGGATGAAATATAATCTCAATAAAATGGTGGTAATTTACTGAGACTTTTTGGAGAATCCCGAGAAGCTACGTCCAACTGCTTTGTTTAATTTTACCACATTTTTGCACTTTCACAGATACTAAACAGTAAATAAACCACCGTAATTACTCATTTAAATCTAAAGAAACACTAAATAGATAAAATAAATTAATTCAACAACTTCGCTCCTCGCGTTCCCGCCAAAAAGTCGATGATCGAATTTTTTAAGTACCTACCTATATCGCTTAAAACCACGCTCTGATTACTACGTATCTACTATTCAGTGACACCCACCATCTGGTACCTACCTAATTAAAGATTTTAAACACAATTTAACAAAATGGATTATAGATACCAAAATGAATTTCTAAAGATTTTTTTAATTTATTTCATTGCCTACATTCTAGTGATTTTATAGTGCGTCATTAATTACTCGTACAAAAATAATGCACTTAAATAATATCATTAGGTTAAGCGTATTTATGCGGCCAGTTTTAGTCTTTTAAGGCGTATTTACTTACAAAATTAAATACGCCAATTTTGAATCGTAAACAAGGTCAAAATAATAAATCAATACTTTGGTGACATGTCAATGACTTTTATTCGTTTTATGCTGTTGGAATAATTTAGAAGAACGGAAAAAATGTGTCTAATACAAAATACGTACCTTTTTTATTGATTGAGGGATTACCGGTGGCCTTGGTTCCAGTTTCCCAAAAACAGGTGCAGGAGCAAGGGCTCAGCCAGGAGGGAAAATACGTACCATGAAAGTAGTGTAAATATAATTTTATTGAGGATATTTTTCATTGCCTTTTTAAATTCAATGTGCAAATACCGACCACCGAACAAAAGAAGTACGAAAGTAAGAATATTAAGAACAATTTTAAGGGAAAGAAACATTTTTGTAGTTACGTGCTCAAACATTTTACTGTTTTTTGTATTCCAAACTTATAGCATACATGGTCTTTGGATTAAGTAAGGTAGGGTGAGCGCGCTACCCTGTTGGTATCAAGAATATTGAGTGACCGGCTGGCGGTGTATCGGGTTCCGACCTGGCAGGTTAATTCTGGTCTTAATTTAAATTGTTGTAAAAAAATCACAGTAACAAAGAATAAATAAAAAAAAATATATATACACCTTTTATAAATAAGATTTACTAAAATTTGCGGCCAATAATTATACATTTATCACAGGAGAATTGAGAATTAAACCTTTTTTCCGTTGCCCTAAACTTGTAAACGTGTACATCAATCAATTAATAAATGAAATCGTACGGGTAGGTACATTCTAATGTTTTGTTCCAAAACATTAATCATACGTCATTCGTGGGTTTTATAGGTCTGCTGATTCTAGGGACTTCGGTTCTCTATGTACCGTATGTTCCATGATGTCTGCTGTGAGGATTTTTTCCGAATGATCCTTTCATCTGCTTTTTACCATCACACCGCCAGCTACCGAAGCAGTCTTCCATTCAGAATTCATGAGAAATTCATTTCAGAGCCTTTTTTGCCACGTACCATCCAGCTTGGGAATGAATTGCCCTGAGTTGCTTTACTGACATTGCTGATGTCCATGAGCGACGATGAATACGTACCATCAGGTGAGCCGTTTTGTAAAAATGCCATAAAAAAAATTGGAATTTTTTCAACATCCACCCCAGGTTATGTGAGTCGTCTATTATCAAAGGTGGCAATCTGTGCATTTGGACAAAAAAATGTTATTGATATGTCGATACCGATTGATTTGAATATAATCGTCTCCTTCAAAGAATACGGTTCAAAACCTGCATTAAATAAAGGTTAATACTTAACCTGTTATTTATCTAAGATGTCGTTCAGAAGAGTTTTGTGACTGCCAATGAAATACAAAGTCAATAATTCGTTTTTCTGATTTACCAATAATTGTCCAAAAGTCACATTGCCGGCTTTGATAATANTCAAGACGGTACGCGACCGTGCCGCCTTCATTCTAGGACGTCTCTACCCGATGATATGTAGGCGAAGTAAAATGTCCCTTAGAAATAAGGTGACACTCTACAAAACTTGCATACGCCCCGTCATGACCTATGCAAGTGTAGTGTTCGCTCACGCGGCCCGCATACACTTAAAATCCTTTCAAATTATTCAATCCCGTTTTTGCAGGATAGCCGTCGGAGCCCCGTGGTTCGTCAGGAATGTCGACCTCCATGACGACCTGGACTTAGAGTCCATCAGTAAGTATCTGCAGTCGGCGTCCATGCGCCACTTCGATAAAGCGGCACGACACGAGAACCCTCTCATCGTGGCCGCCGGTAACTACATTCCCGATCCTGCGGACAGAATGGAAAGCAGTCGACGTCGCCCAAAACACGTCATCTCGGATCCTCCCGATCCACTAACGGTGCTTTTAGGTACTTCAAGCACCGGTCACCGTTCTCGTCGAACCCGTCGCTTGCGACGAAGGGCTCGACGAGTAAATTAACTCTCAGACACAGCCCACTGAGTTTCTCGCCGGATCTTCTCAGTGGGTCGCGTTTCCGATCCGGTGGTAGATTCTGCGAAGCACGGCTCTTGCTAGGGTTCGTGTTAGCAACATCGTCAGGTTTGAGCCCCGTGAGCTCACTTACTAAAGTTAGGGTTACGCTGACATAGCCGCTAGGGCTATCAGCTTAGGTAGGAAAAAAGAAAAAAAAAAGTAGTATGTAACTACAATCAGTTTTTTTATTTTCATTACCTACCTATAATTGTTATATTTTATACGTCTATAATTTCAACTATATGATGTATTGGAAATAGGACAGTCTTACAAGCTTCCTCGCAATGTTTTTCTTAATGTTTAAAACACTCGGTATTCAGTACAGGTAGATACTATAGGAACATAATATTTCGTCGAAAACTCGTTGGTATGTACAAAGCACTCCTAAAATTCGAACCCCGTACCCGATATCGGCAATTCGGCACACCAACTATTCACTAGACAATCGAGGCAATTTCATTAATTCAGGAGTTTTTTCAATTGTTCACTTTGTCACAACACTATTTTTATTTCATCAAATACTGACAACACAGTAAACGTCAATTGACTTCGTCTAATAAAAAATCCGACTATATGGGTTCTATTAACCACCTTATACGGTGAATGAATAGCATAGTGTAATAAAAATCAAACCAACAAAATTATAATAATTAATGGTAGTAGGACATCTTGTGAGTGCGCACGAGTAGGTACCACCACCCCGCTTATTTCTGCCGCAAAGCAGTAATGCGTTTCGGTTTGAAGAGTGGGGCAGCCGTTGTACAGAGAATTAAAGCTCCTTGTGTGTGGCGGCTTTGAAGTTGTTGATGTCCATGGACTTCAGTAGCCACTTAAATCCAGGTGGACAGTGAGGTCATTCACCCGTCTAAGCAATAATAAAATAATTAAACTTACATCATCATATCCCTTTTAGACGGCTCCTTAAGTGGTATCCTATTGATTCTCTTCACTGCCGGAAACATGGGGGTCTCTTCCAGTTCTTTGGTCTCCAATAACTTAGCCACTGCGTCCAGTGGAGATGTTACCGTGAGACGAGAACTGGGCGTGGAGCTTGTTAAGTCGTCGTCAGTTGACGAATCACTATTCGAGCTGTATCCGAAAAAGAGATTACACGTGAGTGTTACTCGTCTTTAATAATTGACGGTAGGGGGCAGACGTGGTTGGGCAATTCTGGTGTCGAAAGATTAACTGTCCCCCGCAGTGACGTAATCGGTCAAAATATCCGGTGTTATAAAGACAAAGAAGTGATGAAATACATTTAAGTGTAATTATAAATCTTTTTTTGACAACCCTAGCATATCTGAACTATATAGAACGAATCTTTTAAAGACAAATGGAGCATTATCTATTTATTTTAGTGTTTTTTTATTGTTGTATTTTTTTTAAACGGTAATTGCAACTTGATTCATATCTGTCCTTAAACTTTTATGTCCATCTAATGGTCTGGGAGAATTCATTCTTTGCGATAAGACAGCCCATTCTACTTTTTGTATTTAATGCTTTACATTTATTTTTTTTACAATAATATTTTTGAAAAATACTGCATAGTCTATTCTAATCGAGCGACCTCTTAATACGGTATTAATAAGTATGACCACATGGTACGCGGAGGCTGGGCTGGTATCTATCTCGCCAAAAAGGTCGCTTCAAACAATACAATTAAGATGCCACAATAAAGCTCCATTTAATACAGACATCGTGAGCGGCACAAAGATAAATCAACACAGTATTAAAACACAGTTATACACAATATTGATAATAATAATAATAATAAATATGATCTATGAATAAATTATAGTTTAATGAAAATTACCGTAATGTGTCATGGCACGGCATGGACAGGAGATATCTCCTTCGGTATTAGAAATAATGTAATTTTTTGAAAAATCGATTTTATGCGTATTATTGTGATAATCGTGATTTTTAAGTTTTGAAGTTTAACCCTTTGAGTGCGATCCGTCAATATTATATCGACTCTCTATTAATTCGTATAAAGTGGGGAGCGTTGGAATATCGATTATTGCGCAGTTTAAATATAGGTATTAGCTATCGACCATTACGGACGTGTCAGCGGGAGCATAATAATAATAAGTTAATAATATAATATAATAATAAATAATCATTTAAAATTATTTTGCTATGAATTTAGCATTGATTTTTGTATTTATTTTTAAGTTCAAGTTTTTTATAAGATACTTTTCTTTCAAAAATCCTTTAGTAATTTCTGCAAAATATCTGAAAATAAGTCCAACACCAAAAAGGTTGAGTTACAATTTGAATATTTCAAAATCCTCGACATCGGACCTTATGGATTTACAGTCGAGAAATGTTATTCTTTTTTATTTTTTTATTGCCCGTGTAGGCAGACGAGCATACGGCCCACCTGATTATGAGTGGTTACCGTTGCCCATGGACTTCAGCAATGCCAGGGGCAGAGCCAAGCCGCTGCCTACCATTACATTCGGCATGTCACGTGACGTTACATACTCGCTAGAGTTGTTCGAGACGGTACTGGATCTGCCGCTTATGACCGGGTTCTTGGAAGTAGGTCCCTTGCTCTGTCCGATCGCGCGACCCCGGACTACGAACGGACTGAAGCTCTCCGTGAATGTTGGAGCCAAGTCACGTAGAGTATGTATCATCTGAAAACACTATTTGCTTACACAACGATCAAATGATAATTTATAGAACTATGTTTAAAATCCTAGAATATCTAAGAACACACATATGAAAAGAATCCGATTTCGAATAAATACGTTCGTGTATTCAAGAAGTGAGTTTTGAGTTACATTTTTTACCGGTGGTACGACCTCTTGTGAGTCCGCACGGGTAAGTACCACCACCCCGCCTATTTCTGCCGTGAAGCAACAATGCGTTTCGGTTTGAAGGGTGGGGCAGCCGTTGTAACTATACTGAAACCTTAGAACTCTTATCTCAAAGTGGGTGGCCGCATTAACCCCAGGTGGGCTGTGAGCTCGTCCACACATTTATGCAATAAAATAAAATAAAATAAAATATGGCAAGGCTGTGGTACCTACTTTGGCGGGCTTACATTATGTCCTGCCATTGCTGTATTTCTAATACCTAAATATATTTTAGGGGACATATTCTTTATCACTAAAGGTCGCGTCTAATGCAACGAAAGGACATCACTACCTCACCTTAAACTCAAAGCTCTCCATGAAAACGGTATACTCAAAAGGTCTGTTATAGTCGTGGTAGGCATCAACCATCTCCACCGTGCTATTGCCGTCCCCCTGGATGCCAATTATTTCGCAGCAAAGCTTCCTCATTTCATTGCACGGCAGAGGAAGGTGACGAACAACATCATCGTCCCACCATTTCGTTAAGGATCTGTAAAATGTCACAGACATACATCATACATAATTGAAATGTAGAGTCCGCTCGATGATCGATATTTAACCGTCAATTTGACTGAAACCCCAAGATTTCCATTCGTTTGATGCAAATACTCTTGTATAGTTATTGACCGACGGAAGAAAAAAAAACGGCAATTTAAAAAAACAATTTCGTCTTTGCCTTTATGAGCACAGACATTAAAAGGCGTATTCCTTATTGGTGATTAGCTGCTAACAAAACTTACGTACGACGCAAGTTTTGCCGTCTCACATGTTAAATATCACAATATAATGTTATATATTAAGATAATTCACGAATCATAGGTTAATACGAACAGTAACCCTTCAAAGACGCGATCGTATACTAGTCTCATAGATAAATCTAACAAACTGTTCTTTACTGTAACACTACAAACTGTAATCTACAAATGATCTGACCTCAAAATAATATTAAATATTATACTCTAAAAAACATTTCTTAATAGCCAATCGAACTAAAAAGTAAATATTATTTAATTTTAATAGTGATGATGATCCAATTTCCAATTTCAAACGTTTTGAAGTTTGCGAATATAACTTTTAAAGATATATACAAATAGTTTTGAAGTTGTCGTGGCCTAAAGGATAAGACGTCCAGTGCATTCGTATCGAGCGATGCACCGCTGTTCGAATCCCGCAGGCTGGTACCAATTTATCTAATGAAATACGTATCTAACACATATTCACGATTGACTTCCAAGGCGAAGGAATAACATCGTGTAATAAAAATCAAACCCGCAAAATTATAATTTGCGTAATTACTGGTGGTAGGACGTCTTGTGAGTCCGCACAGGTAGGTACCACCACCCTGCCTATTTCAGCCGTAAAGCAGTAATGCGTTTCGGTTTGAAGGGCAGGGCAGCCGTTGTAACTATACTGAGACCTTAGAACTTATATCTCAAGAGGGGTGGCGCATTTACGTTGTAGATGTCTATGGGCTCTAGTAACCACCGATGGTCCACCCATCTAAGCGATGAAAAAAAAAGTTCAAACTATTAGCATCTTAGGAATATGTAACGCACCTAGTCCTCGGTATGTACACGGATGCTTCAGGATGATGCAGGTAGTGATCGGTCGGGAACTCCCAGATGGGATGCTTCGTCGGGTCCGGTATGAACAGGCCCAGGAACAAATTCATGGTGTTCTGTTTCTCGGCATCCGAGAACGTGTTAGAGTAATACCGGCTAAGGGTCTGCATTATGTCGTTGCCGTGCGAGGACCACGGAGCTGTCTTGCGGTACGTTTTTATTCTGTGACAATAAAAACAAAACGAAACAGTTAGGTATTTGCTGTATGTTATTAAAGACTAAACATGACGACGCTCGGTGACGGATGTGCTTTATGTATGAAAAAAAGCATTACTTCCCATAACAATGCTTAATTCTAAAAAAATCTGTATTCTTATTGAATATTTCCTTGTAGTCGGTGTTATAAATAATATTCGTCGTCGTTCGTTAAGTCGTCGTGGCTTAAAGGATAAGACGTCCGGTGCATTTGTATCCACGGCAAAGGAATAACATCGTGTAATAAAAATCAAACCCGCAAAATTATAATTTGCGTAATCACTTGTGGTAGGACCTCTTGTGTGTCCGTACGAGTAGGTACCACCACCCTGCCTATTTCTGCCGTGACGCAATAATGAGCTTCGGTTTGAAGGGTGGGGCAGCCTTTGTAATTATACTGAGACCTTAGAACTTATCTCAAGGTGGGTGGCGCATTTACGTTGTAGATATCTATGGGCTCCAGTAACCACTTAACACCAGGTGGACTGTGAGCTCGGGTGGACGAGCAATATATCTAAGCAATAATTTTTTTATATTTAATAATGATAAATTAAACTGATATATTAAATGAGTCCCATTGCTCGATATAGATGCCCATACCCTAGACAGAGCATCTCATCTTTTAGGCCATAGCAAATAGTAAATAATTAATTTGCACTGAATTTTTCACAAGTATCCACGTCGCTTGATGGCGATACTACCCGGTGCTACTTCTATCGCTTCTCAGTAATAAAATCTTCAACTTATGTCCCTATTTCACTCTTCCTTCTAATTTCTATTTGAAGCGGCCGTCCTACCCATCAACTGAGAAGACTCATCGGCAGCAGTAGGCAAAATGGCAGTTTAGCGTATTTGATATAGGTTATTATATTTTGTACGCCAGAGTAAGTTCAGATAGAGGTAAGTTAAGATATACTCTATTTATTTATTATTAGATACTGTACACTTAACTGAACACTGATTTACGAGCTTATATTATACAGTATATTTTATAGATATATTACAGTATATTATTATATTATAGGTCATATTATACAGTATTATGCAATATTTATAACGCGGCTGTATTATTTGACGAGTTATGTGCGACTGTCTTACTGCGTAATAGCTAGATACATTTCAAACTTACTCCAAGTACATGCATGATAAGCTAACTTCAGGCGGCACAGCAGTAATCACCCGCGTGGGAACAAAATATGCCACACCATGAAATACAAACTGCACGAAAACATATCGACGCTTGAAAGACAAACGTGACTAAGCGATAATAACTGCTTTCTGTCTATTAAAATAATTTCAATCCTACAGCTAGATTCGTTAAAATAGAATTTTTTTCAGGTATTTCAACTTTAAATTAGTCTACTGTAAAGTTCACGCACTGTCGCTTAGTCATGTTTGCCTTTCAAGCGTCGATATACTTACCTATGTACAAGTTGGGAGCCGCCATACTGCAGAGCTAGTGTGTCTCCGTGGTCTTCATATAAAGCTTCAAGTAGCCTCGCACAGTCCGAGTCGAATTCGATAACCGGTGTACCGATCAAACCTAAAGCATATAGCTGTAACGAACAAAGAAAGAAATATGTGTATTTTTTTAAAATTTCATCAGACTATTTTCTTTGGCTTCATTAAAAATATGGTTCATTTAAATATCTTTGTGCAATAATATGATGCATTATTTATGCAAGGCATTTCCTTCGTTATTTCGAAATTACTTTATTTCTGAAAAAAATTCTTTGCTTTGCTCTGATATGCATTAACAACACCTTAGCTGCGGTAAGTAAAATCATAAACCTTCATGTGGTGCGGCGGCGGGTCGAAATGCGCCTCCGACGATATTTCTACCAGTGCGTGACGGGTCTTTCTCGACCCACCAACACTGGAGTAAATTAATGCGGTTCAGTGGCGGATAAAGGTACAGTGTGCCCTAGGCAATCACTTTATCGGCGCCCCTGTACCGGCCATAAATGGCCATCATAATACTGTAAATTTTAACTAGTTGTTTTTGGAATTACGATGACGTTGTATCATCAAACCCTAGACTTTAGTAGACCAGGGCCCTTGTACTTACGCTAATGCGCGAATGAAATACAAACAAACCCGCAATATTGCATAACACGAGTATATCGATGCTTGTGCAATATAATCTATTATAGATTTAGATTATAGCATTTAGTTCTTAATCGTCGATATGTTATTTTCTTTATTTATTTAATAATTCTGAGCTCGCGCGCCCCTTGTAACTACACGCCCCTAGGCACGCGCCTAGTTTGCCTTACGGATAATCCGCCTCTGACACGATTTCTAGTATATAGTTGTCGGTGTCGAACTCTGAACAAACACCTGAAACAATCGGTCCGCACTAGTAACAGGGACGCGGTTTTCTTTATCCCCACCAGCTGAAAGTATCGCGGCGGGCCGATGCGGGCCTGACCCGCAGTAAAAGTTTTAACAGTAATAATTATATATGACCACGACAACTGTAATATTTAATGAGAGAGGGAGGGTCTTCCACCGAGGTGATACTGCTCGGTAGACCGACGGTCCGTATATTGATGTTCGGAACTTGTATATAAGCAAGCTTATCTTGAAAATGTAAGCGAGATTAAGGACTCTGTCAAATATCTTGTAAATACCCGCCACATGAAGTATTCGAAACGTCAGAAATAATTTGACGACAGTAAAATACGTGAAATTAAGCCGTAAAAGTAGTTTTAATTGACTACTACACGCGAAAACCGAATAAAGTATAAAAAATATACAAATACGAAGTCGTCGTGGCCTAAAAGATAAGACGTTCGGTGTATTCGTATCTGGCGATGCAACGGTCTTCGGATCCCGTCGGCAGGTACCAATTTTTCTAATGAAATTCGTACTTAACAAATATTCACGATTGACTTCTACGGTGAAGAAATAACATCGGGTAATAAAAATCAAAACCGAAAAAATTATAATTTGAGTAATTACTGGTGGTAGGACTTGTGAGTCCGCACGGGTAGGTACCACCACCACCCTGCCTGTTTCTGCCGTGAAGCAGTAATGCGTTTCGGTGTGAATGGTAGGGCCGCCGTTGTGCTGTAAAAACTGAGACCTTAGAACTTATATCTCAAGGTAGGTGGCGACATTTACGTTGTAGATGTCTGTGAGCTCCGGTAACCACTCAATTTAAAAGTTATTTTATCAATACAAACCTGATAAGCTAGTACGCATTTTCCGATTGCAAACTGAGCCGTGTTCGTTCTGTCGAGGCAATCCACGCAGTTGACTCGAACAAGACCAGTTTGTAAGCGACCGCTCTGATGCCCCTCAACACCGATCTCTTCTCCGTAGCCATTTAAACTCAAAAATATACCAGTTTTACGCACTACTGTACGGGCTATAGCCGATAATCTGTGGAGAGAAAATATCGACTAAACTTTAACTGTAGGTACAACGCGAAAAGCCTTATTTTGATACCGATCAATAATTGTTCAATATCACGAATACTATGTCTATATTTAAACGGTGTTTTTACTAAATTTTGATTAGTTGCTAAAGTTTCCCTCAATGTTCAATAGAATATTAAATTAATCAGCTTGGAGCCGAACTCGCTTTTCCGATGAACTTGAATCGGAAGGACCTTAATTTAGATTTCCGCGTAGAACTAAATATCGCGTATCATTTAAGGAAGTTAGTTAGAGGTATGGTGAAAATTGTCTTATCTAAGAGTAGAACTTGAAATAATTTCGAGTTGAAAACGGCAAATTACAACCATTAAAAAAAAAACCCATTAAAACAGCGTTAGTTACACCACTTGCTACGGTGGCACCGTCCTTCTATGTGCTCCTTACCTCTAGCCTCTTTAATATTTTATCATATTAAAAGAGATTTTTCATGACACTGGGAAGTGGCTAAAGAGTTTGCCTGAGCTAGTATATTCACTTTGGGTCTAATTGATATTATAGAAATATACAAGACGATTTAAAAATTTACTTGGGGAAGTGGAATCTGCATTTAGTCTATAAAACGTTTTATCATATTTCGTTCAAGGACAATAATCACATAAGTAACTACCTATTTTAATACTATACTATTAGTCAAACCCATATGACTATATTTTGTATGTGTGTAAATATAGTAATAACAAACTTAATTTAAGTATGTGTTAATAACAAATCCTACTCATTTCATCTCCATTTTAAAAAATCCAGGAAACGTATTTCATGAGTAAAAAGAAATTGCAGTTAATTTAAACAGTGCGCGGCGATAAATATTGCACATTGACTTTTGTACCCAAAATGAAAATGTAACTTACTTGTCCAAAACCTTTGCCTCGGAGCCCTTGTTGACTCTAGCCATGTCTAAATGATAATATTGTATTGCATGCTCGGGGGGTAAGAACTGATTCAAATATTTGATGCTGTTACTAATCACATCGGTCAATAAAGATTCGTGTTTTTTCTTTTCCCTTTTCTTGACTAAATTCAGGAACATTATTGGAGACCCATATCTTCGCATTAAATTGTTCAAATGTTTTCCTGGTATTTCTGCAAACGGATCTCCGAGGTCAATCGATATTGCTGGTTTGGGTACCATCTTCGAGATGTCTTGTGACCAGTAACTTGGTATTGAACCTCTCATTTGTACAAATGAGCTAAATCTGTAAGTTAACATTTTTATGTCTTTTATTTATTTTGTATGTTCAATCTTTTATTCATCCTTAACACATTTTTCACATATCACATATTAAACATACTGTTTATTTTGGTATAACACACTTTTAATAAAAATTATTGAAGGAATAAGTTTGCCACAATTTAGATAACATTCTTTTGTTCTGTTATATTTTATGTAGTCAATGTTAACTTTGATTCTAATAAACATTTGGGCTTACTTATTACAGAATGTGTTGTCAATTTCAAAAAAATTGTAATGCAGTTGTTTATTTTGAATAGCATGGGTTACGGCTGTCACATAAGCATTAAATCTTTTATATATTGACAAAAAACCAAATTGATCACATTAAAAAAAACACCTAGTAATTGCTTTACGAAGAAGAATATAAGTTAAACAACTCTCATTTTTCAGGATACCTCACTCACATACTCAGGTACCAGTTGAATGTGAAAATTACTTTATTTGAATTACCTACCTTCCAGCTGCAAAAGATGATACCATTGAGTCATGTACAATTTGCTCAGTCTCCACTTCATTTGCGACATCTCCATGCATATTAGCACCTCTCTTAAGGAATCTAGTACCAGCATATCTGTTACTCCTTCTGGCTATAAGAGTGAGATATACAGCTCTTCCGAATATATTTAGATTACTTTGTTCAATGAACCCATGAACAATGTACAATATCCAATCTGGATGCAGATGTGAGTGGACTGGAGATAGCAGGTGACTGTTCCAAACAAACCTCCACTCCGGTACACTGCGCACTCCGAATTCTAGCTTTGGACTTTTTCCTCTGAAAAATAAGACATTATTGTATTTTAATTATAAGAGCACTATGTTATTGGTGTAGAGATAACAATTTAATTAAAAGTCATTATATATTTTCAAAATTAATTCTTAAAATAAATTTATATTAATAATTTTTATTTAACTTTCATTTTAGTCTTTTTATAATTAATACTTTTAAAAGGGTAATCACTTTACAATGTTCATTTATTATTAATTTCATGTATTATTAATAAAATTATTTGAGGCCCAGGATGAGGTCAAATGGTGCACTTCACTAGAGACCGATGTCCAATAGTGGACTATAATAGGCTGTTAATTAATCATATTGATGATTAGCATTCAAATATATTCCTCTCCCTATATGAGTGCAGTAGAATGGCCTCCAGCAGGTAGAAGTGGCAGGACATCGTGAGACACATCAAGTCTGCCCCTTCCAACACTACATGATGATCAAGACCACTCTGTCAAGAGTGACACGATTAAGAAGAAGAATATTCTTCCAGACTATGTATATGTAATATTAAAACATGATGTTTAGTATCAGGGTTTATTACTATTTAGTAATATTTGTGCCAAACATACCCTGTCTTTTCTTGTCTTTGTCGAATTTGTTTCTTCCAAGTTTCAAAAATGTCTTCATCGTCTTCTTTTTTTCTACATTCACATCCCACTTCACCTGCTTTATCAGTGTTCAAGTTTGATTGATATACTGCTGCTGTGATGGGTTTAGGGAATAACGCTGGAGCTAGTTGTCTTGGAGGTGCCATGTTCATTTGCAATGTGTGAGTGATATCATAACTATAGCTGTAGTAAAAGTTGGTTGACAAGTCAATAGCTAAGAACATTTTGAGGTAGCGATGTTCATCAGGATGAGGAGGCTTATTGTTTTCATTCGGAATGTATATTGTTGCTGTATCTTCTATTTTGTAAATGGAATGTGAACCAATAGCTGCGATCTTCCGACGTTTTGTGACTAGTATAATATAATAGCCCTCTAAGAATCTTATGAAACCTATAATCATAAATAAAAATCAAGATTCAAATCATTTGATTTACAAAGTTAGTTCCTTAAAGAACAAAGACTTTTTATATTACCTACAATCCCAAATGCTGACACTAGTTTATTGAGTCCTGCTGATCTTCCAGTTCTGTTTCCAAAACCAATCATGTTCAAAAGTTGATGAATTTCTTGTTTGTTATACTCTACTTTGTCATCTACTAATGTCAAATCTCTTGGATCTGTCCTATCAATTTTTAAAACTCTAAACCTCGTTTCAGTGTTGTTTGATCCAATCAAATAGAATCTCTGGAAAAATAATTTAGTCATCAGTCTTCTAATTTTTATTTCAGAGGGTTTATCTACATTGATTTATTATAATACAAAAATATAGAAACAGTTTTAAATGACTTTCTACTAAGATAGGGGGTGGTACTATATGCAAAAAAATAGACAAATTTAGATATACATTTTGACCTTGTTTGATTTTATTAAGCAAATATTTTGACAAAATACTTTTAAATTTATAATTGTAATACTCACAGCTTTTGTTTCATAAAGCGCTATTCGTTGTATTGAGCTAATTATAGGATGAAACATTAAACTTTCTTTCGACATTTTAACGTGAATATCTTAAATCTTTATTCAAAAATTATTCAATATCGTCAACAATACTTTTCTCATTGGTTTTCGACATATTGTATTCATAAATTTCATAGTCAAATAGTTACTCAGTATACTATTTATTTCACATAATTTTTTTATAAATCTCAAACCTGCTCAAGCTAGGTACATACCGTACCATACCTACCTACATAAATATTTATTTATTGTCATTATTGACAAACATTTGGCAAGTCGAAATGTGACACTGACAAAATTATTTTTTTTTAAGGGTTTTTATGACCTGGTAATTAAGACTTTTAGGTGATGTCTTATTTTAATTTATATTCTTATTTTTATGAAAAATGATAATATGGAAGGAAATGAAATGAAGATGATTAATTTGAGACATAAATCAACTAGGATGAAATTAAATGAAATGAGTTGAGATGATATGAGATGAAATATAATCTCAGTAAATGGTGGTCATTTACTGAAACTTTTTCAATGGAATTTTTGGAGGATTCCGAGAAGTTACGCTTTTAAGTTAAACCTAGTTTTATTTTCCCACCTTTGTGCACTTTCACAGATACTAAACAGTTAATAAACCACCGTTACACATTTAAACATATAAACACATTTAAACTTGAAGAAACACTAATTAGACGGTAGACGGATTACCAACTACTAATGGTTTAGAAACTGTTCGATTTATTTAGATTTTATACTTATTATACATTGACCTTAAGCTTCCTTTTTTTTAACCGACTGGCATCTGCTGCTGCTAAGGCTCACTACAAGAGCCGATCCTACATATCTTGCATCCAGCGGATTCCTGCGACTTTTAGCGGCCACCTGTTCTACAAGCAATGTGCGCTGTCCACTGCCACTTCAATTTTACAATCCTTCGGACTATCCTAGTTTCCTTGGAAATGCTTCTGCGAATCTTTCCTATTCCTAATTAGATTTTGTAGGAAAACGCCCAGCATAGCCCTCTCCATTACTTTGAAACTTTTGATAAGGCCCATTGTCAGCAACCATGTCTCACTATGATATGTCATCACTAGCAGCTCATACTGGTCATAGACTTTTGTCATGAGACCCTGCGGCATTTTCTCCCATTAACTACTTTTCTATAGATAATTATTTGCATTACTTGTAAATGAATAGGCACAGAAATTTTTTGATATACATATGTATGTATGTACTATATATATCTAAGCAATAAATAAATAAAATAAATATATATATATATGACAAAATTCACACCTGAATGTGTATTTTTTTTGAATTTATCTAACAATCGATTAGTTAACGACAGTATCTCTCTGACGTACTTTGGAAAAGCAACCCGGTCGGCGCTGCATTACGTTCTAACCTGGCAGGCTAGTTCTGACCCTCCGGGATATCCTAGGAACACCAGCGGCATCATCAGGACGGCCTGACGGACTGCCGTACCACGGATAATTCCTTCTGTCGAGGATCCAAGCAGTGGCGCCAAGAATCGAGTTTTACTGTCATCCACAGGATATCCTTTCTCTGCCTGGGTTCTGACCTTGGGCGTAGATCGGATGTTGGGTGAGAGAATCTAAGATAAAAACATCTTGGGCCCGAGGTCTGCTCCTAACATCTGCAGACTGTCAAGACCCCCTCGGTGCGGTCCGTAGGCGCGGACACCTTCTATGAATTTAAAACAATTGAAGATTGTTTTGGCTCTAATAAGTATTACACACTACCTCTTAGAATGGGTATAATTTTTAAAGAGGTTCTCAGTGACTTGGGAAACTCAATAGCGTGCTATAAGCTTGAGAAATTCTAATTAGATTCGCTTATGAAATAATAACAAGAAGCAGAATAAGTAATTGTGGTTATTATTGCTTCATTGAGCCTTTATTATTGTACCTTTCGACTGATTTAACATAATAAATAGTAAATTTTGTTTCATTTGTAGGGAGACGGCCTACTGCAAGCTCGGAGTGATAGGTATCACATCTGTGCCTATACCTACTGCGAAGCAGTAATGTGTTCCGGCTTGAAGGATGGGGCAGCCTTGAACTATAGAACCGTGACTTAGAACTTATGGCTCGAGGTGTGTAGCAGCATTTATGTATGTTGTTGATGTCTATTTCCGGTAACCCCTTAACCATGTGGTCCTTGAACTCGTTATTTCGTCTAAGGAATTTAAAAAAACGTATACTTGCTCCCAAATAGATGATAATACAAAGTTCACGCAAAAATGTTCCTTAACACTTCAGTTGTTCATTTTCAATTTTCAGTTCTTTTATTTTACTCACTAACCTTTGTATAAAATAACGTTAAGAATATCAATTTAAAAAAATATCCTTGACTGTTTCTCGCAAATTAAATTTGATTTAGTAATTATTCCGACATTATTAGCTTACTCAATAGTTTAATAAGCTTGAACAACTAATTTATATGTTAAAACTTGAAGGAAATGTCTTATTCGGGTGTATATTTTTAGGATATCTTGCATAATGGCTAAAAACGGTCAATTATTAGTATTCCGTAATGTTCAAAGGCCGGATGACCGCCTATCCGTCTGTCCGTGGGTATATCGCAATTACTTTACCCGAAGGTAATTTGCAATAGCATTATTGAATTTAGAAGGATTTTTTTGTTGCTTAGATGGGTGGACGAGCTCACAGCCCACCTGCTGTTAAGTGGTTACTGGAGCCCATATAGACATTTACGACGTAAATGCGCCACCCACCTTGAGATATAAGTTTTAAGGTCTCAAGTATAGTTACAGTTGTATTGTATAAACTGTAGAGTCAAATGTAACAAAAAGGTAATTAGGTGTAACTCTGCATCTGAAGTCGTTGTGGCCTAAAGTATAAGACGCCTGGTGTACTCATATCGAGCGATGTGACTATGGTGTCATTAAAATCTCTTCCAATTATTGTAATAAAATATTTACTTAACATATGTTCCGGAATTATGTCCACGATGTAGGCTCTATCCGTCCATCCTGTAATAAGAATCAAATTCGCATAATTTCTGAATTTGAGTAATTACTGATGAGAGGACCGCATGTCCAGTAAGCCCCACATCTATTTCTGCCGCGAAACAATATACTTTATAGCTTCGATAACCATTTATTTATTTATTGCATAGTTGGATGTACAAGTTCGTGGCCAAGCTGGTGTTCAGTGACAGACAGAGCGCATATACATCACAACGTGAATATCGCCACTAACCTTGAGAATAGAGGGGGGAGAGAGAGAGTGAGAGAGAATACACTTTATTGCACACCAAAACACAATTTACATTCAAGGAACAGTCAAAAAGCAGATACATTTGTACAATAGGCGGTCTTATCGCTAAAAGCGATCTCTTCCAGACAACCATTTAATTTACAGAAATTCTGGAAAATATAAAAAAAATATTATGATGGGCTATGGTTTCGTTCCCTCATCAAGCCAATAAAATATAGATTGAACCTTAATATTGATATTATCATTATAAAACACAATCCTTACAGCTATATTTGAGACGTAGGTCTCCTAAAGTCGAAAAAGATGTATTTTAAATTATTGTTGAGAAATTTTGAAATTTTAAGATATAAGACATTTTGAACATGTAATTTTTAAGTTAAATATATTTATTTAAACATTAAAATATATTATTTATAATATAAAATATTTAATTAACTTCATTTAAATTAATTTAACCTCTTCGGTTGTAAACCGTTCTTAACAAAGAAAACGGTGAAGGACTCCAAACGTCGGAAAGAATATAACGACAGTAAGAATGCGAGATTAAACCATAAATGTATTTTTAATTATATCTATGACTTGCGTAGGGAGTAGAATATACTATATACACAGTGTGTATAGAATTGAGCCAAATTATTTTTTTGATAATGTGGTTTTTATAACAAACCTGACGATGGAACTCCTGCACTGTGCGTGGTACGACAAGCACTTTTGTTTGTTATATTTAATAATTTACGGTAACACCACGGCGTAAACTAGCCTTTCATTATTTATTTTTCAACCCATCGAATAAATACCGTCTTATGTCTTAACATCATAAATAGTGACTACGAGTATTAAATACACTATTTTTTCTAGTGCGTAAAAAAGCTGAAACTGTAACATAATAATAGGTTGGGGAAAAAGTATTTTCGCATTTTAGAATGTATGAACTTGTAATAAAATCTCTTTGGCTTATACTATTTGTATCTGGCTGGTTTTGGTATAATTAAAAGTTTAAATTTTCAAGAAGATAATTCCAAATTGAAATTAGGAAAATGTGTGATTTTTATTTATTTTTCATACTGTCAAGATAAGTGAATCTAATCAATAAATAAGATACATCATAAAATTTTACTACAAAAAAGGTAAAAATGCAACGCAAGCCGCGAAAAAAAATTGTGATGTTCATGGACCTAGTGCAGTGTCTATGAGAGTAGCACAAATTTGGATTAAGCGTTTTCAATCCGGAAATTTTGATGTCAAAGAAGCATGTCGCTCTGGGTCGCGTAAAAGCGTGGGGTGCTTTTCAGGATATTAACAAAATAATTCTTCTACTCATATCTGTTCATAAAATATTCATAACTACTGATACCACGCACCCCACGCTTTTTTTTACAATAAAATCATTTTTTCTTATACTATTTTTAATTCAAATTTATTAGAAATTATTTTTTAGTTGAATTTTCTATAAAAGCGTATTTTTTTAGTTTTTGTAAACTGTTATTTATTTTTTGATCAGACAACTTCACGTCTCATCAATCTAAAACATGTTGCGAAAATCTCAAGTTTGGTAATACGGCCACTCTATCTATCAGACGTAACGAATGTTTCGCGGCAGAAATAACAATCAAATTATATTAAAATTTTTTATCACCCTCACCTGTATTAGGTATACGTATTTTATTTTCATTAAGCATTTCCTAATGAAAAACCGTCTTTATTTTGTACAGATAAATCACGCTAATGAGAGCGTTAACCTTCAATGCTGGGATTAAATTGCAGTTTCTGGTTTTTTTTAAGCTTATTTAATGACGCCTTTTATAATTCAATAACGTATTGTAATAAAATATATATTATCGTTTTATTAATTCTAATACTTTTATCAAATAACGATAATAAGCTGACTATAACTTTCATCGGTAGGAACTAACCGCCAATTGTTTTTTTG